ACAGTCTGTGGCCTCGGGGAGGGGAGGAAAGTGAGGACTTGGGGGAAAAATGGGGTGAAAAGAAATCCAAGAAGCAGAACAACTCTTCAAACCGATGAGCACCGAGACAGGGCGGGAAGCGGGATGTGCCATCTCTGTCCCATAATCCATCTTCAATATGAAGATGTGTTGCTGCCTCGCCGCTCCAGGACACGGGACGAAAAGCTGGGCTCCCTCTCGGCATGAGTGCCCCCGATCCAGGGAAGGGTGGCCCGTCCCGTCCCAGGCGACCGTCCGAGGCAGAGGAGCGCCGTGTGAAGGGGGAAACGGGAAGCCGGGCTGCACCGCAAACTGAACCTGGTTGGCAGGTTCCCTCGGTCCGTTCCAATGCAGAGTCCCCTGCGGTCAAACCTGCACCGGGAGTGTCTGGTTCATCTGCAGCCTCATGTCCTGAATGCTGCTCAGGATCTTCTTCTGGTGCCCTGCTAGTGTCACCCCTATCCTCAGCAGGTCTCTGCAAGGAGAAGGTGAAGACTCAGCCCCCTGCCAGCAGCAATACCAACGCACGGCCCTGCCCTATCTAGCTGCTGCCAAGAAACCCATCTTTGTTACAGCCCTCTGCCAAGCTCTGGGTCCCACTACCACCACAGGGACTGGATGCTGAATCCCAGACCTTAACCCACTCGGGAAAACCCCAGGCACAACTCAGCCTTCCGCACACTCAGGCAGGAGGAGCCGGCTGCTGGAGAGGCGATGTGCCGCAGCCCCAGGGACTTACTCTGCAGTCATCTGCGCCACCAGGTCGAAGGAGGCAAAGCCGGCATTGACAAAGTTCTCCTTGTACCGTCCCATTTTGATGGCATCCAGCCAGTCTCCCACAGTGGTGAAGGTGGTGTAATCCGGGACGGTGCGGTCCAGGAGCGGCTGGGAGATGCTAAAGGGCAAGAGAGAGCCACAGGTCACAGGGAGCAGGGGACAGAAAGGTGTAACTGGAATTGGGGGAGATTTCCTATCCCTGCCCTCCCACATCTCTAGTTCTAACCACAACCACCCCAGCGCTCCCAGGGTGTGGGGGAAGTCCTGGCTGGAGGCGGGGATGCCACTGACCCAGACTGGACGCTGGCGATGACTTTCAGGCTGGCAGCGTTGCGGATGAGCTTGTCCAGCGTATTGACGATCTGTGCAAACTTGGGCCGCAGGTTGCGGTCCCGCACCCAGCAGTCCAGCATCAGCTGGTGCAGCGCTGTGGGGCAGTCCATGGGGGGTGGCAGGCGATAATCCTGCTCCACTGCGTTGATCACCTGCAGAGAGACATGCAGAGGCAGGCTGTGAGCCACCCAGGCCCCCACGGGTGGCCCACAGCTCCCCGCGCCCCAGGGAGCACTTACGTCCTGGTTGGACATGTCCCAGTAGGGTCGCTCCCCGTAGGACATCACTTCCCACATAACGATGCCGTAGCTCCATACGTCGCTGGCCGAAGTGAATTTGCGGTAGGCAATGGCCTCAGGAGCCGTCCATCTGATCGGGATCTTGCCTCCCTGCAGGGATACGCAGCTCCGTTATTTAGCACATACCTGGGTGTCTCCCCCCACCCCCGGATCAGTGGGTCCCCCCAGAGTGTCCCATACCAGGGAGCTGGTGTAGGTGGGATCGGCCGGGTCATCCTCCAGAAAGCGAGAGAGCCCAAAGTCAGACACTTTGCAGACCAAGTTGCTGTTGACCAGGATGTTGCGGGCAGCCAGATCCCGGTGCACGTAGTTCATCTCCGAAAGGTACTTCATGCCGGCAGCAATGCCTCGCAGCATTCCCACCAGCTGGATGACCGTGAACTGCCCATCATTCAGCTGCCAGAGGAGAGATCAGAAGGGTTTGCAACACCCCAAATGGATTGGGGAAGGATCCCAATGTGCTACCATGACTTTTGTCCTCCCTAGAGCCATCCCTCTTCCCCCACCCCACAATGTCTACGCACAGCTTAGCCCTGGGGATGCCACCACCACAATGCAGAGGGTGGAGAAGGAGGACTCGGAGCTGCTGTCCCCCATGCGCTGCAGCCCCCAGCCCAGGACAGGAGGGGATGGACGCTCACCCGGAGGAAGGAGTCGAGCGCACAGTTCTCCATGAACTCCGTGATGATCATGACGGGGCGGCTCTTTGTCACCACACCCTCCAGGTGGATGATGTTGGGGTGGTCGAACTGGCCCATGATGCTGGCCTCGCTCAGGAAGTCCCGCCGCTGCCGCTCCGTGTAGCCCACCTTCAGTGTCTTGATGGCCACGAAGATCTCGCGGCGGCCAGGCAGCTTCAGGCGCCCGCGGCACACCTCGCCGAACTCCCCTGCGGTAGGGAAGGGGAGAAAGGGGCGGCAGGGTGAGCCACGCGGCAGGGCTAGAGGCAGTGGTTGCAGCAGCTGCTGTGCCCAGCCCCGGGACTCACCTGCTCCAATGACCTCCTCAATTTTGACGCAGGAGATGTCAATCTCTTTGGCGAATTCCCGGACGGCTTCGTTGGGGTCCTCGTAGGTGAAGGGGTCAATGTAGACCTTCATCCCAGGGGTGACTGCATGGGCAGAGGAATCATCACCAGGAGGGACACAACACGGTGACAGATGCCGAGCCAGCTTGGCTGGCTGTCAGCCCCTCCCTCCCGGTCCCTGGCTAGCGAACGCTGCCCCTTTGCTTGCACACGGGGCAGGAATTTGGAGAGGGCAGGCAGAGCCCATTTGCTGGGATTTCACACTCACCGTATTGCTGCAGCTTCTCCGTGTACTCAGGGTCCGTGCTGTTGCGTTGCTTCCTGCCCAAAGGAGACGAGAGGAGGTGTTCAGTAACCATCCCTTTCCTGATGGGGCAAAGACATTCACTGCCAGCTTCCAAATCCCAGCACAGCCAGCTTATGCCAGAGAGCTTCCCCTCCGGCAGCCGGCGAGCAGAGCCATCCCTCTGCCGGAGGTGCGATGGGAGAAGATGGCCTAGTTGTGCTGAGAGAGGATGGCAGGAGCCTGGGCAGAGCCCCAGCTGGTGCTGGGGAAGCAGAGATGCACAGTCCTCCCACAGGACCTGTGCTCAGGTACCCAAGTACGGCAGGTCCAGTCCTTTCCTCTCAGACTGGAGCTGCGAGAGCTCTGCGCACAGGCAAGGGGAAAAGCTCTGGGGCAGACACAAGCAACCCCCAAATCCAGCTCTGACCCGCCCCCCTCCCTGCAAAGCCAGTACCTGAAGCAGACGATAGCGATGATCACCACAACGATGACGAATAGCAGCCCCGCAGTGGCCGAACCCACGATCAGAGGCAGCTCCTGGAAAGTCTTGCTGGTGGAGCCTGACGGAGGGAGAGGCAGGAATCAAAGTCAAGCTGGGAAAGGAGCAGGCGTAGGAGGGCTGGGGGGCAGAGGCAGCCCAGTCCTGGTACCTACCGTCCTCTGCAGTTGTCTGAAACTCGGTGGGGAGGCTGTAGCGGCCGGTTTTCCGGACCTGCACCATATACCGAGCATTGGCCTTCAGCCCGTCCAGCCGCACCGAGTTCTTCTGGCTGGTGACCGTGTTGGCGATGCCATCGCTCTGGCCTTGCTGTAGGGGAGACACGTGGGTGTCACCTCTGTGAATCAATCCCCTCTTTGCTGCCCCTCAATCCCCTGGGCGCTATGTCCGCAGGGACCCCTCTTTGCCAGAAGGGCTGCAGAAGGGAAAAGGCCGCTCTGCCTCCTGCTTTACCTTCTCCGAGTACTTGATCTCGTAGTCCAGAATGATGCCGTTGGGTCTCTCTGGGGGAGTCCACGACAGCGTCATGCTGTTCCCGGTGCTGCTGTGCAGGTGCATTGTGGGCACGGCAGATGGGGCTAGGAAAGAGGGCAGGGGAGGAATGAGACATCTGTGCCAGGCTCCCCCCTCCACCATCCCGCATCGGCCTGGTCGACTCTCTGCCTGGGACCTGCTCGGATAACCCCAGTGGAAAGGGATGGAAAAAGCTTTGAGACTGGCCTCCCTCAAATCTCCGTAGGGAGGTGCGATCTCACTGTCTTGCAGCCAAGGTGATAAGGGACCAAGAGGACCCTTGGAAATAGCATCAAGGTAACACTTTGCCCCATGCCAAGCTGCAAACTGGCCCGGGGAAGGGCCCTGCCAGCCCAAACTGGGGCTCCCTCCCTTCCTCCCCTTGCCAGGAGCTCCACATTCCACCCCACTGATGAGACCCGTGAAATCAGATCAGAGCGCAGCGGCTGGAGATTACCAGCATGCTGGAGCTGGGCCAGAGCAGGAGGAAGGAGGGAACGACAGAGCACTCGGCTGGCTGCAAAGGTTTGGGCTGGTGCTGAGCCTTCCCAGGCCCACAGGGGAGAAATCTCATTTCCTTCCTCCTCCCTTCACAGCAGGCACAACATCTCTGGGGTAGGTCTAGGAGATCCATAGCTCTCCGGAGCATCTGCCAACCCTGCCCTTCTCCGCTCGCACGTGTTCTGATCTCATTTCCTCCAGGGACACGCGTTAAACGGAGAGGAGAATTTACCCAGGGGATTAGATGCAGGCACGGAGAGCTAGTAACGCGGCAGCACAAAGGACTGCAGCCTCCAAGGCTGTCAGCGAGAAATCCCCGCTCCACTCTGAGGTGGAGAGTCAACCCCTACTCTCCGGCAGCTCCACTGACCTGCCTGGTTGGTGGTGATGTTGACAGAGGCGAAATGGGGAGGGTAGGGGCTCTTGTTGGAGATGCCATTCACAGCCTGGATCTCAAAGGTGTACTGGGTGTGGGCCATCAGGTTGCTGATGTAGATGCGACGCTCGGTGAGGCCGAGCTGGCGCGGCACAAACTCCACGTTGTCGTCGCAGCGGGTGCAGAGGCGCCGCTCCACACTGCACTTCTTGCAGATGACGTTGTAGAGCAGGTCGTCCCGCCCGCCCGTGTCCTGTGGCTCGCTCCACTCCAGCACCAGCGACGTCTCGTTCACATTGGAGATGACGCTGCGAGGGGCAGAGGGGACGCCTGCGGGGGAAACATGGGGGTCAGGGGTGGCGTACCCCCATGCCCAGCTCACCTCTGGCGTGGGCACAGCACACTCCCCCCCACCCTGGGTATGGACCCCCCCACCTCCCCTCACCCAGGGCAGGACTCACTGGTGCAGGCACTATCTGCGGGGTCCGTGTCTGCTCGGAAAAAGCCGTTTCGACACGTGCAGACTGTTGCTGCTCCAGAGGTGGTCCGGCTGTTGGGAGGGCAGGGAGAGCAGGGACCTTCCCCCTGCTTAGACTTGAAGGTTCCCGGGCCACATGCTGGAAGAAAGGAAAACAGACCTGAGTTACAAAGCACACCCAGAAAGCATCCACTGCCCCCCCCAAGGCTGGGCAGACCCTTCCCTGCTGCTTTGCCAAATCTCTGATCAGTGTCTTGAGGACCACAGACCACCTACGTGCCCATGGACGTGTTGCCCCTGGACATGTTGCCCCTGGCTGGGCAGGGTGGGTGAGAGTGGGCTACCAGCACAGGGCAGTGGCATGGGCCAGCGCAGGCAGAGCTCTGCCCAGGAGACGCTGTGCTCTGGCGGCAGACCCGGGGCAGCCGGAGATGGGAAGGGGCAGTCGCCGCTAGCGGTATGAGGATCAAGGCAGGTCCAGCCAGGAGAGCACATCCCCAGTTTTGTTTCTCCACTGCGCTTCCCAAGGGCTTTTCCAGGCTCCCCTCCCCAGCTGGTTTCCATGCCCGGCACCCTCCATAGGGTCAGCAATCCGTTCTCTGGGGAAATAAGGCTGGGAAGTAAAGGACCCCTCAGCCC